AAGGAGAATACAGATATGACGACAGAAAAAGAGCGCATCTTGGTGTATGAACCGATACTATAAGCAAAGAAAACAGTTTTGTCAAGAGTATGTTCTAGACCCTTTCAATGCCATGGTGACATATCCGTTACCATATGGTCCGCGGTGCCTACCTCCACCCACTCTTTGTCCATTCGGATGCTCAACTTCCACCTCATACGCTCACGGACATCTTTATAAACCATCCACGATGCCAAGCACTCATACCAAAAGATTTTTTCGGCACCTGGGGGGTAATACACGCCGCGACGGGCTTCACCGGGAGGATTGAGCTTGAGCTCACCTATTACCTGGACACCTAAATGGCATTAGTTCGAAGATCCATGTATCTGGGGCCAGAGAGGTGCGACTGACGGTTCGGCATTTGCGTGAAACGACGGATAAGGACTGATTGTACACTTTGCCCAGCCTCCATAGCGAGCCACATGTGCACGCCTCCCTCATTACTTAATGCGCGGCCCTGCAGGAAGAGAGACAATCAGAAAGAGCAGACCCTGACATGGGATCAGAACGATGCGTACCGAGTCAATCACACGAAAAGCATGTTTCCTTGGGGGTTCAAGCCCTGTTGCAAGCATTTCGATGACGGGTGCAGCCAATTCGTAACCCCAGATGCTCTGGTACTGCACGTATTCAGAGACTGTACTGCCACGGAGCGTCAACCCGTAGGATACGGCAGTGACACTGCCATGAATAGGTTAGCACCGCGAAATCCGGCAAAGAGGAAGAAACCTACGCATCGCTGCCCTGTAGATGGCGCAGAGACGGTCGTTCGTCCTCATCAATATCCTGCAGGCGGCGTTCGATTTCGTTCCTCAGGTAGACTGACTGACTGAAACCACCCACGAGGACGATGTTGGTCACATTCCACACAGATATGTGGCGCAAAATGGCTTTCAGGATTGGTCTCACAATAGGATCGAATGCTTTGACGAGTGAAGCCCTGGTGAGAGTGAACTGATTGGTTTGCTCGTCAAATTGCTCTGATGGATTGTACTTCCATCTGGTCTTGTACTGCTGGGAAAGTGGGAGGTAAACAATCATATCCTCGTTGCCAGAGAAGCCATGCTTGGCGTCAATGGCCGCCTTCCAAGCCATGGAAGCCACCTGGCCCTTTGCGCATGGCAGACCAAGTTCCTCGCGGATGTGACCCATGAGCGATGTCTCTACCAAATGACTGCCGTGCTTCATCGTACTTTGCTCACTTAGCGGATGAAAGAGTAAGTGGTGTGCCTCGTTTGCCGTTGCGGATACGCGAAATGCAGTGTAATCCTGATCTTGGTCAGTTCAGGTCATTGATAGTTGAAGTCTCACCGAGAGAAAGGGCTAAAAAGAGGGAGGGTGGGTTGATAAAAGACAATGGTGCACTTACGCAGGTCACACCACCTAAATCACATACCAACACACGGTCTCCAACCTGGCACAAGGAAGATCAGCCAGTAATTCGGTGGCCATTTATGCGGTCATGATGCTACTGCTTACCTGAGCAAGGCCTTCCTCCTCGAGTTGGTTAGCCACCCGTATAGCGGCTGCTTTCGCTTCTGAAGTATAAGAAACCTGGTCGTCGCCATTCTCGAAACCAGCCTCCCGAATCGCACTTTGCATCATTATCTCGCCCTCTACCGTCCAGCAGTCAGGCATTGCAAAGTACCAGTCAATTGGGGGGAGTCGGTCGAGCCCAATTTCTTGAATGACAGTTATATCGGCGATGAATGCCTTACGCAGAGCTTCCAGAAAGCCCTTAATAGCATCCTGGGGTTGAATGGGGTTTCTGTCGATTCCGGGCACCTTGGCATTTCCAAATATGTCCAAGTTCATTGACTCCGCTGAAGGGACCCCAGCAACCTGTAACTTTAGCAGGACCAGATGGCTATCTTGTCGACCTACTTCGCAACCCCACGCACGCAGATTATTGGTACCAGGATAATAAGAGACCCAAGTCGGGATGATTGAGTCGCGGCCATTTGGACGCCACTCCTTGATACTTCGGTTGTTCCCGTAATGATATGTCACGACTAAGAAGAGCCTTCAGTCCAGCACCGGGGTGGATAAGGCCAGCGCGCGGCGGCAGAGGGACAAAGGGGAAATAACTTTCCAATCACTCACCACACTTCGTCACGCCAAAATCAACTCCTGCAACAAGGCGTCGCTGATCAGCCATTGTGCGCAAGGAATCACGAATTCAGAAACAGTAGGGACAAAGATGATAGACTGCATGGAGAAATAAAGGAGGAAAGAATTAGGGCAAGATTGGAAGTGATAATTGCTATGATCTGACATGGATTGTCTGGAGCCGGTAACTGCAAAGAGTAGGCTCTGCCCTTTTTATAACCTTAGTCTCTTCAGGTTCTCCTATGCCAGCAGACTACCTATTATTTACTATAAGCCTGATCTAGATCGTCTACCGTGTCTCTGAATCTCCCGCTTTTGCCCGTCCTGCCCCTAGATCTCCTCTGTGTGGTCGTGTGTGTCTGTACTTGCCTCGGTGTGTAGAACTCTACCGCGTGTCCTGTGACCCACAAACTTCCTGGAGGAGTACTCCCCGTACAGAGAAGGTTTTTTAGGTATGACTAGGATGTTGAAAGCACAGAATAGATAGAACGCAAAGAAACTTCAAAGGGAAAAATGAAATGAAAAATAAATGGAAAACCAAAAAGGGAAATACAGTGACATTAAAATCAGGAGTAGTTGATGATCATAACGACTCAAACGATAATAAGACAATATGTTGCTGAAAGGAGATGTAAGAGGTAACACGAGAAAAGGAAAACGCCAGACCAAAAAAGAAAAAGGGAGGGGGGATAAAAAACGGTAAATTTGAAATAACTGGCCTCACAAAGAACACAGAAGTGGGTAAGAAATTGAAGAAAGAAATAATCTCCCAATAAAGAATGCTCAAAATACGAAACCTTAACTGAGCGGAAGGCAGGCGTTCCTGATCTGTCTTTTGACCTCTCTCTACTTCAATCCTCTCTCCCTATCACCTTGTCTGTTACGTGCAAGTCAAGTCTCCTCTACTTACCCCTACAACTTGATTTCCTGTCTCATAATTGTTCTCCTTCACCGGTCATCTACCTAGCAAACATGGGCAGGACGAAACAGGCCCGACAGCCTGAGCGAAAGAGTGAAGAGCGAACGCCCTTTCAGGATGACAAGTCTGAAACCCAAAATCGTGTCTACGGCCCCGGTAACTACTTCTTATCACGGGAAGAATACTACGATGTGCTGGCACAATGCAATTTGATGGAGGAGAATGCATGCTCCCAGCGATGCATCCTCGATCTCGTCAGTGCACGGTTCAACCATCTGGACTGCACCATTCGCACATGGACTCACGCATGGACACGTCGTGAATCGATGTCGCACCTTCAATCAGACGAAAAGCAGGACATCATCAATAGTCTTGATGGTTACTGTGTCCAGGAAGACTGGGACAGTATCCACCCTCTCCTTCCACCGGGAACCCGCGCGAATATGGGCCCGGTCTTAGGCGCTACAATGCTTTACCAATTCATCTTCTCTAAACTCATCGACTCTCCTTTTTGGTTCTTAGATGGAAAGATAAGCCCCACGGATGTTGATGGTGACCCGCAGTTTCACCTTCGTCTTCAATATTTGTACGAGAGAATCCGGGAAGCTTCTGTCTACAAGGCAGCCTGGTGGAAATCAGTCACTATCGGCGAGTGCAATGCCCGCAGCGCCTTCGATAACAATCCTGCCAATACAGGGCTGGCACAGGGTACCGCGGTTCAACGTAAAGCAACGGTGGAATCATTGACTGATGAGCTGCTTGGATGCCGGGTTTTTCAACTTCTTCTTCGTCCATTGGAGTATAAAAAGGATGTATCTCTTCGTCATGAACAGCTTCACCGAATCCTCCACGACGCTGTTAATACGATTCTCTACACTGAGGGAGGGATGTTTGGCAATACTACAATAGAACGGCTTCCGGATCTTCCTGTCTTCGTCCACGAGTCAGACAGAATGACATCCCATATGCATCACTTCACCAGCCCTCAGAATACTCCGAGTTTTGCGGCTTTAGATGGGGGTCGGACCCTGATAGTTACTCGCCCGGGCCTCGTTTACTCACAGATGCAAGCTCTGGGTCACGGTCGTATCTTCCCTCCTGAGCGAGTGGTCAAGGCGGAGGTGTTAGCGGAAGTGAAAAGGCCAACGAAGGAGAGGGTGTCTCGGAAAGGGTCAACATCCGGTGTTACGAAACCGACAAAAGGGAGAAGGGCCCAAAGAGCAAAGAAGCTCAGCGCCAGTCCCAGTGCAGCTGATGCCAAAGATAACAGCGGGGAACATGGAGAAGACAGGGAGGAAAGCGTACCTCTTGGGAAGCAGATGCCGCCGCGGAGGAAGACATTCTGGCGTCAGTGAGCGATATATGCCTTTAGTTTCTCTATGAATTGTTTCGGTAATTGCTGTTTTTTTTTTTTTTTTTTT